GCGGTCTAGGTGCAGAGCGGTTAGATAAAGCAAGTCCGACTGGCCTAGCAAGCAACCCCGAGTAAGTGCCGTCCCTATCCCGTGACAGTAGGTTCCGACTGTCACTGTCAACGCCTAAACCCGGCTAACCAAGCGTGCATGTCAGACTGTCCACCAATGCGGCGTGCGAGGCCACGCCTTCTATTATCAGATTTTTGTCTACTGCGAGAAGAAAGTGCAATCCTCTTCTTCATTGCAGAGGGGGTGGAGGTGGTTTCTTGGGCGTTGGGCAACGGGCACCGGGTCCCGAGTGGGCAATTATTGAGGCCCTGGACATTTTTCCCGTCAGTCTCCTTCCTCGGTGTTTCTTTGTTTTTTTTAGGGAAGTACCTACATGTCACATTTGTGTTTCATAAGGGGCAAAAAAAACATGCATGGGCAAGGAAACGAAGGGCGAGTTTGAAAAGGGCACTGAAAGGGCATAGTTGGTAGAACACGCCCACGCCAAAACCTTTTATGTTTTAATCGACCAAAGTTCCGCCGTTTGGTCCTACCGGGCCAAATGTCTTCAGCCTGGGTGAAACGCGCCTTCGTGCCATGGCCACAGTTCCCTTGGCCTTTTTTCACCAGTTCATGAATTTTGCGCTTATTCTGCGCCAGATTCATGAACCGGTACGGCTTTTTTTTTTTTCAAAATACCGTACGCGGGCCTCATTCTATGTTCACCCTCGACCTCTTCTACAACAAAATGAATCTGGCTCTGTTTGTGCGCCCGATTCGTCAACCAGTACGGTAGAGCCCCTGGAGCGACGCGTGGGCCTGTAGTACCTCACATGGAAAACATTCGGCTGGTAGTACAAAACGGCCTAACTTCGGGTGCCGAAAACACACACACACACACACACACACACACACATCCACACACACACACACACACACACATGTGCGCAACAGTCTCTCCAGAGCACAACGTAGCCTTCTTGGGTGTGTGTGCATCCGTGCGCGTATTTGTTTATGTGTTTGTGTGTGTGTGTGTGTGTGTGTGTGAGAGAGAGAGAGAGAGAGAGAGAGAGAGAGAGAGAGAGAGGTACGAAAACAGTACCTCCTGAGCCCAATTTCGCCTTTTTTTTTCCCGTTTCCAGCCAAATTCGATCTCGTTGGAGTGAAAGCATGGTTACGAAGAGTACACCAGTGTGTATACGAGTACTGAGGACTGATGAAGCTCTGATAAGGACCGACGGCTTCCACCCCGTTCGAGCTTTGATGAGGACCGGCCACTTCTTCGTGCATGAGGGTAATTGCACCACTTGGCATCGGCCAACATTTTCATTGCACCGCTGGACACCGTTTTTGTCCAGATGCGCTCAAAGTAATGCCGATAGTGAGGGGTGCAACAAGTGCAAAATGAGAAATGGTCATGGGTGTCAAAAAAAGGAGGAAAAAAAAAAAAAAAAAAAAGAGAAAGAAAGGAAGAAAGTAAGAAATGAAGAAAAGAAAAAAAAAGAAAATGGAAAAAAGACAAGGGGCGTTGCTCTGTTGGTACACCCATGAACTGTTAAAATACGGACCCGAGCTCGAAGTCCAGATACAATCAGATCACCAGAACAAGACCATTCAGAATTACGTGGGGCCAGTCAGTTCAATGATAATATCTCACGGTCATCCCTGTGCGCCAATTTTTTGCCGAAGCGCCGGGGTACGGTTTCAATTTTTTTTTGGCTGGAAGCATTCAATTTTTTTTTGGCTGGTGCTTCCAGCCATTGTCGTTAGGTAACGGGAAAGCGCCACAGCCGATAGCTTGGCCAAGTTCTGGTGGTTTAAAAAAGAAAAGAAAAAGGAAAAAGGGAGTCTCAGAGGAGAAAAGGAAAAAGAGCCCCCTCTATCAATACACTACCCACCTTGGGTACCAAACATCAAGACCTACTGTGGATGTTAACTGGATGGGATAATTGGTGGAAAGCCCCCACACGGACCTACCGAGGATGTCATCCGGATGGGATAATTGGTGGAAAGCGCCCACGCGGAAACCTTTTTGGTTTCACGTGCTGAAACTTTTTCCATTTGGCAAGAACATATCATCCCTGACTGGATCCGTCGGAACGGTGGATGACTACTAGATGGATACAAGACTTGGGGACTCGCGTTGTGACGAACTATTTTCTGTAATTGCGCGACTTTCTTCGTGAAGCTGCTTCGGGGGAGCGGGACGGGTTGGTCGGGTGAAGTGGGAGGGTATAGGTCGCTCGGGCTAATTGGATGGATGCCCTCGTTTCTTTCTTTCTTTGTGCCTTTTTGGATTTTCGGACCAGGGTCGGGAAAGTCCCGCGCCGACAGTTAAGTGGGCGCGCCTTAGGGAGCGCGATGAATACCGGTTGTCATAGCTTCTTTCTTGTTCTGCTCTGAGGGTCGGGAATTTGGCGCGATCAGCGCGCGGGAATGATGTTTTTCAAATTTCAACTGATGTCGAGCCCCCACGGGCTCTCGGAATTGTTTTTCTTTCGGATTTTTTTTTCTTTACTAGGATTTAGGCTAGGAATTTAGGCACCTCGTGAATTTTGTTGCATGGCGCTTTTTGCTTACGCACATCTTGCTGCGACAGGATCTGGGCTCTGACTTTTCCGTGCCTTAATCTTGCGCGTGACTAACTTTTGGCGACGTGATTGCAACTATAATCTTCTTGTGCTTGATATTCCTTGTGTTTCCTCTTTCCCGCCTTTCCCTCGCTCGTGTATACACATCCTTTTCTCTGTTCTAATTGATCCCGACGTTGCATGACTGGATCGATGCGTGGAGAGTGGTCTCCGCCGCAGCCTGGCCATGCAAATGTAGGCACCACCTCCTTTCTTCTGTTTAGGCATAATCCCGGGTTTCTCGCGCAAGCATCCATGCTATAAATTTCGCAAGCGCAATTAGTTGTCTCTCTATGAATTTGGAAGTTAGCGCGGTAAGTGAGGATAGGCCAATGTTTTTCTGCTCGGGTTCCACTGCTTCACAGCGGATTTTTGCTGTTTAGGCGCCCTGAGGATAGTTGGTGGGGATAATTGGTAGAAAGAGCCCACGCCAAAACCTTTTCGGTTTTGGCCGCCCAAAGTTCGGCCGTTTGGTACTACCGGCCCAAACAACTTTCCCCTGGGTGATAGGCGCCCTTGCGCCGTGGCAACATCTCGCTGGGCCTGTTTTCACCGGTTCAAGAATTTGGCGCTGTTTCTGCGCCAGATTCATGAACCGGTAGGGCCCTTCTTTTTCAAAATTCGATACTTCAGGGTTACCACGGCCGGCCTCTTTTACATCAAAACGAATCTGGCCCTGTTATGCGCCAGATTCATGATCCGGTAAGGCCCTTGGAGCGACGCGTGGGCCTGTAGTACCCCACATGCAAGTCATTGGGCCGGTAGTACCAAACGGCTAAACTTTGGGCGCCCAAAACCGAAAAGGTTTTGGCGTGGGCGCCTTCTACCGATTATCCCGAGTTGTTGGATGGCAGGGGCCGGGGGATGGAGGGAGAATCCACTGGTGCCCCCCAGTGACTCTCCCCCCCCATTACCTGGCCTTGCTGCAGGTGGGATTGGAAGTGTGGATCGGATATGGGACGCTGGACCCGGTTTCCAGCACAATGGCGCCACTTTCAATGAGGTACTGTATTACATTGATGTATTCAAGGGACGCTGGACCCGGTTTCCAGCAGGTGATGCTTCCCACCAATAGATGGAGCGGCCCGCCAGGCAAAGCCTCAATCCCGGTGGTTCTCTTACCACCAACAGGATAGAGGCTTTGCACATGGACCTTAAAAAAAAAAAAAAAAAAAAATTAAAAAAGTGAGGATCGGCCAACGAGTATGCTTGGAAGGTGAGTGGATGAGAGAGTTGGGCAACCCGATGAGCTGGTGCTGAGTGTACGGGGTTGACGTGCGGGCCGCGACGGACTGTGGCGCACGGGCGAACCTGGCCTGCATGCTTGGACCAAGCGGGGTGACAACTCAATGTTGATGCCAAGCGACGGACTGCCTGCATCAGGAATGGTGTAAAAAGAGAGAGAGAGAGAGAGAGAGAGAGAGAGAGAGAGAGAGAGAGAGAGAGAGAGAGAGAGAGAGAGAGAGAGAGAG